ATAGATGCTGTACAAAAAGTTATATCATTAGCTACCCAAATATTACAAAATACTCGGCCAAATATCCATTTTTGTTTTATTTCAAAAATAAATCCTGGTATCATAACTGTCGTTGTTACTAGTAGATCAGCAATAGCAAGTGACATAAGTATAAAATTAGTTGGATGACGTAGCCGCTGCACACGAAATATAGCTGTAACAACAATAACATTTCCAATAATACTCAATATTATAATGATTGAATAAGCCTAAAGGAAGAAAAATACTTTTTTTTTTCAAAACTCCTTATTAATTAAATAATTATTGTTCAATTTACAATAATGCCAATGATAAGTTGACCAGTTCGAGACGTTTGTATATTATTTTGAATTGTTGATAAAATTTCATTTATTGTTAGATTATTTTGACTTGTTTGATTATTAACATTCATCATGAATTGATGATAAATTTTTTTTTGTTCTTTTACACTACAATAGATCAATAACATTAAGAACTAATTTAAATAGATTTTGCGCACTTTCGTTAATAACAATCATACGAAAAGTATGTTTAAAAATCCGTACATATGTTACATTAATATCTAAGACAATCAGATTATTATAAGTAACAAACAAGAATCTTTACTAATAAAAGAAAGAAAAAAAATTCTACGTGCACTCTACCAAAAAAAAAAAGGAAATCCATCAGAGAGAAATGCATTGATTTCCGCATCACATCATGACAGATAAAGTAATGCACAGTAGGCATCTTCATACTAGTATTACAATTATATCTTAAACTAGATGTTTTTTTTATATTTATGCATCATCAGAAGTATACAGTTAATAATTTGAATTGTATTTTATTGAATATTTCTTCTATATTATTTACTTAATGTCATTATTCGAGTGACATTTCGTACTAGAAAAAGAAACAAAAAAACAATTGCAAGATAATTACACTATTCATATACCTTTCGATTTCTTTTTTGTTTTTTGTTTTTTGTTTTTCTTATTTGATAATATATATAAAAAAAAAAGACAGAGAGAGAAAAGTAAAGATTATTGAAGTGTCTGTTTTGTAAAATGAAGATTTTTTTTTTTTTGCTATTGATAGGTGATACTTTTGAAAAGAAAGATGACAGAATGAATCATATATTGAAAAATATTTCGTCAAATGTAAAATATCCCTAGTGATATGATTCATCGTTTATTATTAATTGAGTTCGAGTGTATAGTCAGGGACAGATGTTTTGTGTATGTGAGTCTATTTGCAAAGAGACAACAAAAAATGTGCTTTTCTTTTTCCGTCTCTCTTCTTCTATTAACTATAGGTAAAATAAGATTGTACTATGAACAGAAAGGAACATATTAAAGAAATAATTTTACTATATCGTTGATTATACAAGCAAAAATAATTAATATTCTACTTAAATTTGTAGGCTGTAGTATCGAAGATGGTGCTACCATCATATTTCAGATAAAATATTTAAAATAAACAGTATGTATGTTTATATATATATAACTGACAATCGTGTTCATATCTAGAAATATATATATATATGTATATAATTAGAACAATTTGTTATCAAGTAATATCAAAATAACAAAATTTTTTAATTTTTCATTGATATATTAAATCAATTCTCTACTATACTTACTAATAATATTAAATAAGTTATTAATGAACAAAATTATCATGATTATTTATAATATATATATATATATATATATATGATTAAATACATAGATGTAAATTAATAGGAAAAACGATAGCAATTGATTGAGCTTTATTTGGATTCAATTGCTGGAACTAATTCATTTCATAAAATTATTTACGCTGAACTATTGTTCGTTATAGCAAATCTATTGGGAAAGGATGTAGTCTCGATATGTATGTGTTTAATGTTGGAAAAGAAATGGCACATAGTGGAAGAGAGTCGAAGGAAGAATATTATGAGTGAAGCAACGAGTAAGAAACACTTGGTTCGGGCGAAAATTTTCTACCAAAAAAACAAAGAAAAAAAAACGGGTTTTGACGTGCGAAAGAACGAGTAATGAAAAAAAAAATCATTAAAAGTACAGCATTCATAATTATAATATTCTAAATATATACATAAATATATATATATGTATAGATTGAAATTCATCAATGAAACCTTTATTGTACATATATAAGATTAACAAGTGCCCTGTTGTTGCTATGGTCTCATTGTCTAATTCAGATATCAATCCAATATAATATATATATATGTATATATGTAGACATCAAATGAATTCAAAATGTACATTATCAGTTAGGCATATGTATTTGTTCGTTTGTCAATATAACATGAATAAACACATAAACATATTTAGTATAATGAATAGATATGATCATGATATTTTGTTTCTTTTGACTTAAATCATATATATATAAATACAGAAAATCTATTTATAGACATCGTTCTATATTAAGACGAGAAGAATTTTATTATTAAAAAAATACAAAAAAAAAGAAAGGTTGTTTTTTTCTTTTTTTTGCATTTTCTTTTATTTATTAACGCACATATTAATGCAAAATCATCAGATCGATGAGAGACAGAGAGAGAGAGAGAAAAAAAGAGAAACAGCACTTGCTAGCATCAATCATAATTGAATTCGATCATATTTGACAAGGAATTCGCCTTGATTTTATTTCTATTTTCAATATTTATCTATCTTCTTGATCATAATAAATTTTAAGTGTTCTTTTATTTTTCTATAAGTTTATAAATAATACAATCAAGATCAAAATTTCAAGTTACTATTCAATAATACTATTTTATACGAAAGAAAATATAGTGATTAAAGAAATGTGACAGATCCTTTGCTTTTGTTTGACGGCACATGAAATGAACTGTCTCGTTTAATTATAAATGGATTCTTTTATTTTTAAGAAAAATATAGAATATAAATAGAAGATTGAATTCTTTATATATTATTAACTAAATTGTCAAGTTAATTCAGTTTGCTGTTTGATTTTTTGAAAAAAAATTTTTCATATTGTGCTAAATTTTCAATAAATTTTTTCGAATCAATAAAAATAATGATAGGAAATTATTCTAAATAGAAAATAATTGATTTAACATAAATTTGTAAGAAAATATTTTTAAAGAATTTAATTTGATTTTTGAATGAAAAGAAAAATAATTGAAGTTTTTCCATTAGAATTTAATTCATTTATATTGATGATAAAAGAAAAACAAAATAAGTTTCCCATACTTTTCATAAAACCTTACTTGTACTATTTGACATCAATTAGACATAAACAAAAATATAAACTAAATGATTCCGTTGCATAATTAATTGTCTGTCAAAATCATATCAAAACAAGTCATTCCAAATGTTTCTTAGAAATATAGAAGATCAGAAAAACCTATAAAAATAATATAATCAACTAGCGCAATCTGAAGTTGTATATAATATTGTGTCTGTGAATATCTATAATAGTCATAGAGACTTTTTCTTACCTCGTTAAGTTTATTGCTAGTACTTCATCATGATTTCTCGTCTTATTCTCTTTTTTCCGCTTCTTGTTTTTGTGTTAGCACAAGTGTTTACATGAATTCATTGAAAAGAAAACTATACTAAATACGAGTTTTTCTTTCTTTTTTTTTCTATGTTCTGTCTAAATGTTTGACTTTCTTTTCTTTTCTTTTTTGCTTTTCTTGAAACAATAAAAAGTAAGAATATAAACAGTTAAAATAAATAAATGATGAATTCAAAATAACCAACTAAAAGTAATTAACTTAAATGTATTTGTCATCTATCTCAATTAAAATAATAATAATAATCGGGAAAAAAAATTCTCTTTATTAATAAAAATTAATGGAAGAATAGGTAAAACAAAAATATAGAATGATTTAATATATTACGATCGATAACAAGTAACTTCTATTTGAATAAACAAAATCATTTATCATCTAAATCGATCTCTTCCCATTTCAGTCTTACTCAATGAACCTCTCGCTTGAGTTTCTTCTTAATGCGATCCTAACATTATCAATTACAATGATTGTTTTTTTATATAGAAGAAAAATAACTTATATAATAAAGAATAACAAGAAAAATACAAAAATTATCAACATTTCTAACTTACAGACACGTTATAAATATAATATAAAGAAAAAAATTAAGCTGTTTGTTTTATTATGGCTCTATTACATTGAATTTTTAATTGTAAATCTTGATAATTAAGTACAAATGCATTATAATATGCAATTGTGAATTGTATATTACTTGTTGTTCGTATGTCGTATTCAATATATATGTCTTAACAATGCTTGTTGACACTTCACATTTAGTGTAAGCCGGATTATTATTATTATTATACAGATTCTACTCAATCAATGGATTATTCGAGAATGAATTCTTTAAATACGTAAACTTTTATCATCTGTTTAATTTAATGAATCAATCGGAATGGATTTAAGTGTGAGAAATCATCAAATCGACAATTATCGAAGTAAAACATTCAACTCACCTACAGATGTTTTTTTCTTATTCTTGTATGATACTAGAATATTGTCATCGTTAGTTTGTACATCAGTATAATGATCACATACCACATACTGTCATGATTTTGTCTTTCCCAAATGTTTATATTATCATCAATCGAATTCTGTCTTGATCTGATCTATACAATTGCTTGTCATTCATACGGCACCTGTATAAATATCAACTCTCGATAGACAAGATACACAATAATGAAAAGAGCATATGCTAAATAAAGAATGTTGTGAATATATATATTGACATCTACAGATATTTTATGTCTGTTTGTTGTTTCTTTTCTTTGTTTTGATGAATGATTTCAAAGATCTATCAAATATTTCTTTTCTTTTTTTATTATTATTTTGATGAGAATAATATTCAAATAGAATTATTTGATGGAAAATAAGTTTTATTCTTATATTTTTTCTTGTGATTGATTTACAATCGTGCAGAAGGAAAAGAAAAAGAGAATTTGTCGATTATACTATGATTAATATTTTTATCTTGTTAATGTTTTAATTCTTCTTGAAGAACTTTACCAAAACGTGCCATACCCTATTGAAATTAAAAGAAATTTATTAAATAATAATAATAATAATCATAATAAATAGATTTACTGTTTCAATCTGTTCGGGTGTACAAAGTGAATAAGAAACTCGAACAAATGGATAAGATTTTGATTGATCAACGAAAAAAGCACTACCCGGTAAAAGTAATACTTCTTGTCCAAGAGCTTTTTCATAAATTAATTTTCTTGTATCGTCAATGCCATTGATTTTTAACCATATAAACATGCCAGCTGTTGGTTCATTAAATGTGATCATATCTAAATATTTATTATTATGCTTAAATTAAATTGCATACAATGAAAAAAAAACATTGATCATAAAGAGCAATGAGTCTATAATGAAAGGATATTTTCAGGCAAAAGAAAGAAAATACTTAGCACATTAATTCAAAAATGGTGAAAAGGTTAAATAACTAATATCTCAATTAGGTTAAGTGGCAAAAAATGTCATCTTGCATCACATCATCTTAACCTATAACGGATTAGTATTGGCGTTTTTTCCAAAGCTTATTTATTAAAAAAATACTTTGATAGAGGAAAAGAAGAATTACATTTAGTTTTTTGTTTTATTTTCTACGACAATTTTGAAAAGGTTATAAAACTATAATTTTAAAATCATTTAAATAAATATACCTTTCAAATATTTATTAATAGCATTGACCATTAAGTTTTTTTGATTTTCATAAAATTTTGAAATTCTATAAAATATAAAAATTGATGAAGAAAAATTCTTTTCAATAATTATTACCGTTTTGTATGTTCATCAAATTCTGATAAATTCCATTTTTCGAATAATTTCAATGCTACCATCTAATGAAAAAAACAAAAACTTTGTTAAGAATATTTTTTATTTTGCTATCAAAAATTTACTTGTGAAAGTGAACTTGCATGCATACTTGTTACTTGTTGATGATAAACTATTTTTTTCCATAATGGTACTGGTGCAGTAACAAAACCAAGACGCATTCTATAGAAATAATTTAATCTCTTTTTACCAGTAATTAATTCAATCTTACCCAGCTGATAAAACTTTCGACATAGAATCAAGTCGAATAACACGACCATCAATATCCATTGATAAAAATGATGGGTCAGGTTTCTAGAATTATTTTTTTTTTTGTGAAAAAAAATAATAATTTCTATTATTTATTGATTATTACTGTAAATTGTAGAAAAAAATATGGATCATCTTCAATAATTAAAAGATTATATTTTTTAGCAATCTAAATATTAACATATGAATTTAGTCGAAAATATAAAATGCTCTTCTTTTTTTTTATACTTCATAAATAGCCTGTTTTCGTGCTAAATTCATTGATGCACCCGTTGGATTAGAACCATTTGGAATTGTATAAAGAACTTTTGGTAAACTTTTTGAAGTAGCCCAATTTGTAAGAGTTTCATTTAAATGATTAACATTCATACCATTCGAATCTGTCTCAATACTAATAATATCAGCGCCAAATCCACGAAGCTAAATATAAAGATCAATAAATTAAAAAAAGAAAAAAAAACATTTCGATTTTTTATTATATACAAAATCTAAAGATCCGGAATAACAAGGTGAATCGACTAAAATTGGATCTCCAGGATTGAGAATAAGTTCAAAAACTTTGCTTAATCCTTCCATTGAACCATTTGTTATACATAAATCATATCGTTTAAAATCATCTGGAGAATGATAATAATTTTGTAGTTTTTTTAACCATTCTAATAAATCTGCTAGTCTAAAAAAGAGAAAGCTCATAAAAACTAATAAAGTATACTCAAAATTAAAAAGATATCTACCCAGGTGTAGGTAAATATTGTAATGCTTTAGACATTGCAGAAGGATCTAATTCAATGTTCGTGCCATCTCTATCAAAAAACAAGGTCTATTATATTATTTTTTTATGAAGCAAAACAAAAAAAAACCGGAAGTTTTACATTAAAGTAATTGTTGCTTGCTTAAATGGAAATAAAGACGTATTGGGACTTCCTGATGCAAAACTAATAGTCGAAGGTGGTGATCGTGAAAATAATTGAGCTAAGATATTAATTATTTAAATGTATTTAATTATAAATAGACATGTAAGCCGATGGACTAATCACTGATGACTACGAAAGTATCATGTGTTGTCGTGACCAGCTATGAAGACTCCCAATGTCATCGACAACTGATAGTTTTCAATACCTTTTTTTTTTAAATTTTGAAATGACAATGCGTGAAAATATTGGTAGAGGACGTGGTGATAAGAAACTAGACAAGAACATTCTTGAATATCGATAAATTTTCAAAAATCTAATTTCTATCTTTTGTGTTTCGATAGTGACTTAGACAATCGGCTTACATATCTAATTATAAATAAATATTTACTAGCTTCACGAATAGCACTTGGTTGTCTACGTGCAGCTGCTTTACTTAAAAAACGAGCATAATCAAGACAAGTTGGCATCTGAAATATAAAGGATAATTTTTTAGTTTTTAGTTTTTTTCTTGAATATTTTAATAAATTGTTTAATATTATAACAAAATTCTTTTTGAATTTTATCAAGAGTTAAAACTAAAAAATAAATTCTTGAACAAAGAGACATTATTAATATATTATAATGAACATAATTTGCACGAAAACATTCAAGTCTTAATCGATCAACAGTTAACTTTGATAGACGTTTAATTTTTGTTAATAATAATGATGATTCTTCAAGACTTTTAATTAATTGATTAATTGTACCACGTGATGGTAAACGAATTTCAATATTATCTGGTTTAAATTCTATTAGAATTTGTTCAAGATATTGTTCACGTTGAGAAAGATATTGTTCAAGTAAACGAACAGTTCGTCGACTTGCTTGTATACCAAGTTCAGTACGACGTGCATTCCAATTTTTATAAACACAACGATTTAATAAACGTGTTTCAATATCTAATAAATTAATTGTTTTATATTGTTCAATAAATTTTATTAAATAAGAACGACATTGATCAATAGATGATCGAATTGGACGTAATTCATCAAGAGTATATGAAATACTTTGAATTTTATTTGTTTTAACCATGAATAATAATCTGGAATTAAAAATTATCATAAATTTTTTTTTCGGAGCTTTTAAATAACATCAAGTAAAGAATTATTTTATAGGAAAAGAAAAGAAAAATTAGATCTATGATATATTATTATTATGATTGATAATCAAATTTGCTTATTTTAATTAATCCTTTGAGGACCATTGCTCAACCAATGGATGAAATTTCTTTGAGACTTTATATTTGATATAGACAGTGTGTATTGTTGATATTTTCATCAAAACTTCATATGATCTCTTCGGAGAATTTCCTCGGAAACTCAATTAAACTTCTACGGAGGACATATGGTAGATATACGAGATATAGGAGATATAGAGATATAGGGGATGTAGAGATATAAGCGATATAGAGATATAAGGGATCTAGAGATATAAAAGATATAGAAATATAGGATATATAGAAGATGTAGGAGATATAGAGGTATAGGATATATTGATTAACTAGTGCAGATAACCTTTATATAGTACTTGACCTTTAATAGCGATCCATTCAGATATATTCATGCAGCTTACCGATCCTTGCTCGAAAAAATCAATCATAGAAAATAAATAACTATTTACTATGTCTCCTACATCTCTATATCTCCTATATCTCTATATCTCCTATATCTCTATATCTCCTCTGCCGATGTTTAATTGAGTTTCCGCGGAAACTCTCCGAAGACATCTAATCCTCATTTTCAGCGAATATGAAATGCTTATTTAAATAGAGCATGTCTAATCATGTTCAAGTACTGTTCAACTATTTCAACATGACAATTAATTAGTTTTTGAAAACTTCAGAAACTTACAAATTAATTCACCAAAAATAACTTCCTTTAACTCAGATGGCAAACTTAACCCATGTTAGATGCTCGTGCCTAAAAAAATGAGTAAGGCACCCGCATTGCAAAAATCAAGTGAAATTTTTTTTCGACTTTTTTAAATATCATTTGATAGAGGTCGAGCTGCTGATCGCGAAAAACTGCTTTTAAGCCTAAGTGAATGTTTATTTCCGGTCGAAAAATACGAAATACTGGAAGGGTGTCGTTTTCTTCAATAAATACATCTTTTTTAAAATGTGTAAAACTTTCCACTGCGTTCTTTTTTTTGGTTTCTGAAAATAATTTTTTCAGATGTAGCATCAAAAACTGACTACAGGGAAGTTATTAAATCTATTCAAGACCGCACATTCTATTGGTGGTGGCGCTTCGAATCGCGTCGAGTGAGATATGTATAGGTCGATTTTGTAAACCTATCTAGTTTTTTCACATAAGCGATGAAGTCAAAATTTTTTTATCTCATTCGATTCATCATACCATCAGTCACAAAGTTATATATCCTTTTTTATTTCCTTGTTTTTCTTCGTCGAGAAAAACCGTGTTTATTGCGTTTTGACTCAAATAGCTAGATTTTACTCGTAATTCTCAATTTTCTTCGCCAAAAATTGGACTTTATACAAAAAAAAGATTATCATATCTGGAATCAGCGTAAAAAATCGAGTCGATTAATGTATATTTTAATCGTTTCTAACGATTTCAGTTTTTTTCCGAGTTTTCACCTGTTACGGTGGCTGAAAATTTCACCAAAAAATCAAAGGTGATTAAAAGTGTGAAAACACACATTAATCGACTCGATCTTTTACGCTTATTCCGAATATAATAATTTTTTTAATATAAAGTCCAATTTTTAGCGAAGAAAATTGAGAATTACGAGCAGAAATCTAGTTATTTGGGTCAAAACGCAATAAACACGGTTTTTATTGACGAAGAAAAGAAAAGGAAAAAAAAGAATATGTAACTTTGTGACTGATGATATGATGAAGCGAATGAGATAAAAAATTTTTGACTTCATCGCTTATGCGAAAAAAACTAGATAGGTTTACAAAATCGACCTATACATATCTCACTCGACGCGATTCAAAGCGCCACCACCAATAGAATTTGCGGTCTTAAGTCGATTTAACAACTTCCCTGTAGTCAGTTTTTGATGCTGCATCTGAAAAACTTATTTTCAGAAGCCGAAAAAAGAACGAAGTAGAAAGCAGAGATGTGCGGTCCACGGGGTTCACCCCGCGGGCCCCGCGGGGCCACGTGGCGACGGCCGGGCGGGGAAGAAAAATTTGATTAAACGCGGGATTAACGGGGCACGGGTATTTTCCGGCACATGGGCGGGCGGGGCGGGGAATAATTTTTTTAAATGACACGGGTCTCGGGCGGAGCGGGTATGAAATACACGGGTCCGGGCGGGTAAACATTTTTTTTCGGGTGTGATGAGAGATCGTCAAAACTTATTACGGGATGTCCTTAGTATAGGTATGTAGTACAAAGTACATATTGATTGGTTCATTACTTTCATCCTATTATGTACAAGATTGTCTATCATTTGTTTGTTTCTTTCTTTATCGTCTGTCATACGCAACTTCTACTATCAATTTATATTAAGTGAATAACTGGACTAAAACTTATTTTATATTTAGAATTATCGTTTGATTTTTTTTGTGAATTACTACTTAGGTCTGACCAAAAGTTCTGACAACATTATATAAAAATATAACGATAAGGAGGTATCTTTAATTTTATTTTATCAAATTTTGAGGACAGTTGCCATGATTATTTATACCAAGTTTGATCCTTTCCAACGATTAGTTAAAAGTTTTTTGAAGTTTTTTCGAAAAAATTTTTAGGTATCATGGATACCGCATGAGCTAATCATATTTCATTTATTGTGAAAAGTTAGCAAAATCTTGTTCGATCATATCAGTTGCATTCTAGTACTGCTAGTGATGAGATATAGATTTATTTTAGATAGGTTAGTCATAAGTTATCCGATGCTGGCTGGCTTATTGAAGATGAATCGTCAAAGACTATTGTTCATAAATAAAGATTTTAGAAAATGCTTTGTTTGGTATATTCTTTAAATCAAATACTCTTGAATGTAGATAAAGGCAAGACTGTAAGTCACAAGTATTATACTGAAAACTCTCCAAAACATTTTATTAATGAAATATGGAAACAAACAGAGACATCAGGTTCAAAATGTACAAAATTGATTGACGGTCATCGTTGACTTCATACTCATCTAATGTTATTAATTGCATGACAGAAGAAGGCATCAATATAATATCATATCTATCATATTCGCCAGGCCTGATACTATGTAACTTTTCGCTAACTAATTCTATTAAATGTAGTTTAACTGATTAAATAAATGAAACATGATAAGCTCGTGCGATATCTAAAAATTTTTTCGAAAAAAACTTTTAACAAATTGTTGGAAAGGTTCGAACTTGGTATAAATAATCATGGCAACTGTCCTCAATATTTGATAAAATAAAATTAAAGCTGCCTACTTACCTTTATATTTTTATATAATGTTGCCAGAACTTTTGGTCAGACCTAAGTATCATCGAATTACATGATTTATCTCCTGATGAATCACTTAATAGGACAGCTTCGTCGAATACTGATCGTTCATCTACAATTATTTCTTTATCTCTCAGTCATTGCTCATCGAGTAATATTAAATGTAATTCGTCAAATATAAAAATGTTTTTAAAAGAACAACCACAAAAATACGTGCTTGTCGACAATCACAAAGTGAATCATTCAAAACCATCTCATATAGACTTGAGTTTTGTTTTTGTAAAAAATGATTTTTCATAAAAGGAATGCATCATTAAAAATAAAGTATTTGGTAAATAAAAAATTTCTTCGGATTACACGGGGACGGGTCGGGACCCGTCACAAAAATGGCGGGTCGGGCGGGCCGATCCAAGAAGTTGCCTGTGCGGGGTACGGGCGGAGCGGGTATAGGTTTTCCGGGGCACAGGCGGGGCGGGGATTCTCAAAAAGAATATCCACGGGGTTCGGACGGGACGGATTTGTGAATTTTACGGAGCGGGCCCCGCGGGGCATGGAAAATCAATGCCCCGCACATCTCTGGTAGAAAGTTTCGCACATTTTAAAAAAGATGTCTTTTTTGAAGAAAACGACACTCTTCCAGTATTTCGACCGGAAGGAAACATTCACTTAGGCTTAAAAGTAATTTTTCGTGATTAGCAGCTCAAGCTCTATCCAATGATATTAAAAAAAAGTCGAAAAAAAATTTCACTTGAAGTTTGAATTGTTTGCACCTTATAACGTAGATATGGACAAGATAATTCCGATTCTGATCAGATCGAGACCGTGGATGACTGATCCCCGCTCATGTCTAGTATATAGAAAGGAAATCTTTTAGACTTTCAATAATATATATATAAGAAAATAAAAGAAAAAAAAACACCAGGTAGTGCTTGTATTTCATTGCCAATAATAATAAAAAAAATAAGTTACAACTTTATATTATTTCATACACAAAAAAACTTTTTTTCTTTTTTAAGATTTAGTTGATGATTCTTGAGATGATTTATTATTTGATGACTTCGGAATGATATAAAATTTCGCACGAAGTTCATCGGCTGGTCTATGAAAATGCATATCATGTAATATATTTGCTAACAAAATAACAAATGCTCCAACACTACACCAAATAGCTATTGAAGATGCTTTTGATATTGTACTACGATTAGCTCGTTGTTGACGTCGATGTTCGGCTTCTTGTCGTTCACGTCGAAGTCTTTCTTGTGTTTCTTTTATTGTTGTACCCCAAAATTTAAACTCATTATAATGACCACGATAATATTCATCGAAATTATACGTATTCGAACGTCCTTGTGGTAGCGGACCCCGATATCGACCAAATAAATTATCATAATGTTCTTTATCAAATGTTCCATAACTTGTACTTCGACTATTACCAAATGCATTTTCTGCTCCTGGAAATCCTCCACTTGAATTATTCGATGATGATGATGATGGTGGTTTCCATGCTGTTGGACGATGTGCACGTGCTCGTTGTGCATATGTACTTGTTCGATCATATGTAACATATGGATCAGATGGAGATGTTCGAGTTAATAATTCATTATCATAATCTCGTCGTTTAATTGGATCACTTAATATATCATATGCATTTGATAGTGTACTAAATTTATTAGCAGCATTTTTATCATCAGGATTTACATCTGGATGATGTTTTTTTGATAGATTATAAAAAGCATTTTTAATTTCTTTTCCAGATGCATTTGAATTAACACCAAGTGCATCATAATGATTTATCGATTTCTGATTAGAATAGAATCGACGATGAGTTATACAATAACAAGAACATGATGTACCGGTATATTTAATAGAACCGGCAGTAGTAGATCGAGTGATATAATTAAAATAATTAGACATAAATTAATGAAAGTGAGCAAGAATAAATAATTTTAATAAATACATGCTCACATCTAAAATAAAATCATTCAAAAAAACAAAAAAAATAACAACAGATTTGTTGTACAAACCACTTTGTCTAAAACTAGGAAGATTTCTCATAAAAATCATTGTTTTCTTATTTTCTATATTTTTAATTCAAAAAAAAAAAAAGAAAAAATCACATAATTCAATTTAAAAAAAAATCATTATCAATACACTCTATTAAAAAGAACGTCTACAAAAAGAAAAAAAGACCAAGATCTTTGAACGATAAAAAAAAGACTGTTCAATCTTTGAATTCTTGCTGAGCATATATTTGAACATATCGAGTACATAAGTTATCTGACAATTACAAAAAAAAAAAACAGAAATTCTCAATGGTATAATCAATTAATTGCTATTGACTTTCTATCAATCCATGATCATATGCATAAAGAATTGCTTCACATGCAAATTGATATTGACTCTAAATTCAAAGAAAAACAAAAAATAAATTGAAATTTTTATTCATTTTTAGATGAAATTCAATTTCATACAGCTGTTTGAATCATTCCTAAACGTTGTTCACGCATTTGTCGAACAATATTTAATGGATATATAGGTTGATTTGCTTCAATAAGACATAGAGCAGTTTCTAATAAAATTAATACACCTGTTCTACCAATACCAGCACTAGAACACAAAAAAAAACAAACAATAGAATAAAATAGAAATATTTAATTTAAATTCTACCTGCAATGAACAAGAATAGGTATATGTTTATTTGCTTTTCTTAATTCACGAATTTCTAATACAAAATCTACAAATGAAGAATAATTATTTGGTATATCATGATCTGGCCATGTTTCACATTGTATTTGATAAATAATTCGTTCATCATTTATTTCATTATTTAAAATTAATAATTCACGATAAATAAGTTCATTTTCTTTTCTTTCACGACAACATCGAATTGTAAATAAACCATAATCAATTGTTTCTAACATATTTGGCCAATATTGATGACATTTTATTCGACCACTAAAATACAAAGAAATTTACTCTCAAAATAAAAATAAAAAAACTCTAATCATTTATTACTTTTCAAATAAAGTTGTTAACATTATAATTAAAGTACATTGTTGTTCCCAAATCATTCTCCAAAAAGGTTCACATGTTATTGGTAATGGTCCTTGTGTAGCTATATAACGATTAATAATATCTGTTGAATTAATTGGCATCTGAAAAGATGAATAAAATTTAAATATAAAAAACAAAAAGATTTATTCTTACATTAATATAATTTGCATTAATATAATCATTTTCAGAATTATTTTTAAGTATAACACGTGTTTGATCATAAGGTAATACATCTTTATAACGATTATGATAATAATTATATTCACTTCGACCTATTTCAAATGTAAAACTATCGTTTAGACGGTGAAGTATCTAAATTTAAAATTAAAAAGAAAATAATTATTTATTAATAAAAATATATATAAAATCTTTACTTGATATTGTTCGATCAAACGATTTGATGAAATATCATTATGTAATATTTCTAATGATTCTTTTAATAAATTTTTTCCATCGAAAGATTTTATATGAAGTTCTAATTCATCAAAAGATCTGTCACATGAACGTCGAATCATATTAATAATCTAAATATAAAAAATTTTCATAAGAAAAATACTTTTTTATTTTTTTAATTCAATTTACTTCAGCATATGAATGATTTCGAATATCAATATTATTAATCGCTAATATGATATCACCTTCTTGAAGTAATGCTCGACTTGCTGGTGTATTAGATGCTACTTTTGAAATAATAGTTGATGTTTGTTTATCTTTTCCACCCTAAAATAATCAAATTATTTATTTCTCTTTTGAAATAAGAAAATAAACTATACTTTAATATTAAAACCATATCGACCATCAATATCAGGTTTTAATTTTATTAGTATAACATTTGAATCAATAGATAATATTTCATTAGATATAGTTGAATTATTTAATAAGAAATTTTGATTTAATATTTGAGGACTAAATAAGAATAGAAATTCATTATTTAAATAATTATTTATATTCATTTCACAAGGTTCCTTTTTTTTTTTTTTCTTCAAAGAAAATAAAGACGATATTAATTCAACAAAGTTATTGTATTAAAGTTTACATTACAATAAATGATTATTTCTTTGTATTTCAAATAAATTTATGAAAAGTATAGAAAGAAAACATAATCAAAAAATTAATCTTCTTAATTACCTATCTCGATAATCATTTTGAGATGATATTATATTTTTTGGTTTATATTCATTAGCTTCTACAAGTATACTATTGATGAATGATGTTTGTCGTGGAGATTTTGATGGTATTGATAATTGTTTATTAATAATTTTATCTGACTTTGATATTGATATATTTGATGATGAAAGAGATAAAATTTTTTGTAAATTTGATTTTTTATTTATAAAGAAATGATTATTATTATTCGAAGAAGAAGATATTGGTAATGTTGATGAACCAGTTTTTGAACGAATATTTCGACGATTTGATACTCTAAATTAATAAACAAAAAACATAATTTTAAAAAAATAAAAATATTTATCATCCAAACCGTTCAAATGTTTTTTGTCTTTTTTCATTTTTTTTCATTAATAATTCATTTGGTATAATATCCGTACTTAAAAAAATAACAAAAATCTAATTTAAAATGAGGAAGAAAAAAAAATCTAACCGATATCGAAGTTTATTTGTAAATTGAAAAACTTTATTTTTTGGTAATGATGTTAAACGAAAAAATGTATGATGATCAACACATGATTTCCATAAATATTTACAACAACGATAATTACGTAATGTAAATACAATTGAATTATTATCTGATGAATTCTAAAGAAAAATAATTATTTAAACAAAAACTACAAAGTCATTTTGTCAGCTTAAAAATATATTCGAAAATGTATAAGATCGAATGGAAAGAACAAAAAAAAAAGCTGATTCTGTACCATTAGAATCATTTGCAGTCCTTTCACAATCATCTGGACTTGTTCAAAGTCAATGTAATTAGCAAAATTTGCCAAAAGGCAGCAAGTTTATATCTACATTTATGTTTCTCATATAAGGTTTCATCAGTCACAACAAGAAGATAATTGATTTTGTTTTTTACGAGTGACTCCAAATGATTCTGCTTAACAAAATTAACTGTTTCCTACATGAAAATAACTACTTTCATGATTGTATTGATTTCAAAATGATTTCGACCATTGAAAATCAACTATTTCCTTTTTTACGAGACTTTCTCAAAATATTACGAATCACTCTTTGTTCTTATTTAAGTAATATAGAAGACTAGTGCTATTTAATAATAATACTACATAACATATAAAAAGTCAACAAGCAAATGAGGTTTAGAATAAAGTTGTAGTATTTATAGAGATGCAGTACATAAGAAATATGTTCATTTATATGGGATTGTCTATGATAACGAAGACCACAAAACAATAGATCTACTATAAATAGAATCATAAAAATACAACTTCTCATTAATTATGTAAAATAAAAATAACAAAAAGTACAAAATTGAAGCAACTAATTCTGATAACTAGAATTACTTTGAAACCAAGTGTTTTTCTTTTGTCTAGTAGTTAAAATGAAATTCTTAAGAGAAGCTTAACAACAAATTGAAAATTCAATGAAATGCAAGTATATTTCAAGTCCAAAATTTAAATAGATTTTTCTTAGTTTCAGAGAGAGAGAGAGAGAGAGAGAATTATTTATAGTTATAATCGTGATTCGAGCAAGTTTCACTACTTACATCATCATTTTTAGTCAGTTGATATTAGATATGTCTATTTAAAACCTATTTTTGAAGTAAAAGCGTCAAGCGTAACATTTTAATCTGTAATCTATTTTCTCAATGTATATATCAATAAATACTTACTGGACTTTTAACAAGTTGAACATAAAATGTTCGTCGTTTAAATGATATTTTTGTTATTTGTTCCCTATTGTTTATTAAAAAAAACTAAAAATTCTTTTCGATTTATTCTTTTCTTTTTTTTTTTACCAAGAAAATGTATTAATTTTAATTGAATTTTGAAAGACATATATTCCAATAGCACAAACACCAACATACAATTCAACAATAGAACTATATATACTATGATTTGTATTTGATATCTAATTAAATTTACAATAAAAAATAAATATTTTTGAATATTAGAATATTTTTACTTTGACAGATGCTTTATGTAATTCTACACCATACATGTCCAATGAACTAGCAACACGAAGATAATTATTTTCAGCATCAGCTGGCGATTGACCTCTAGTAAAATAAGATAATTAAAGATTTTTATCATTCGTATCAATCAAGGATTTTGTACATGTTATTTAACTATTCTATATCAGAGCAAAAAATCGACTTCTGACCAAAATTTAACCTTCAGAGGAACAGATTTCTTAACAATGAATTTACCATTTAAGAAGTAAACTAACGAAAAATTAATTTCGAATCTGTTGACGAAAGAATATGATGTCTTGAGAGAAATAAAATATGTACTTTCCAATAGAAGATGAAAAAAGAAAAAGGAAAAGCCTTCGACTTTGTTTCACGGATAGGACAAATTCTAACACAACATTTACATGATCAAGGATTCATTTAGAACACTATTTTTGTTTTTTTTTTCTCACCTATGTTGTTTATGATATTGTTGTACTTCTTTTTCAAAATCTGAATTTTGAAATGGTACAAAATGAAAATCATTTAAATATCCTTGTTGATGTTCATTTAAATTATAATCACCAAGTTCACCTATAATAATCGTCTTATTTATTATAGAACAAAAAAAAAACTTCATTCTATTCTATTTACTTTGTACAATATAACTAGCTAAAAGTGCAGCTGTTGATCTTGGACATAAAATTTTTCCATTTAATAATTCTTTTTTTAATTGTAATACATATAAATATTTACTAAATTCATCATCAATTTCTATTGATGGATTTATAAGAAAGAATCGTATTTTAAAATAAAGATGATATGATAATATATTTGTTTTTAATTGTTTTTTAAGTATTTTTGTTGAATCTAACCAACGATATGCAAAATCTTGTGTTAAATCTTCAATAAGTAAACCAAAATATTTTCTTTCATTTGATAAATTTAAATAATCGAAAACTTCATTTAATAAATCAATTCCTTTACAACGACGCTAGAAAATAAAATATATAAAACAAAAAAAAAAAAAGAAATTTGCCTAAGAAATCTCTTTTAACTTACATCAATAAAAAATGTTCGTTCAGTATCATCAAGAAAATGTATAACAATTGAATAATGATCTTGTGCTAATTCAAATGTACGCATATTATATGAACGACATATTGATGTTTTATTATTTGATGAATTTTTTAATGATATCATACGAGATAATAAATTTGTTTTAGTTTTTGAAATATTAGATAATTGTATTGTTGATAATAATGATTCATCTGTTGATTGTGATGATGATAAAGATGTATTTGTTGGCATTACTACTGATGATGAATGAACATTATTTTTATTGTTTAATCTCATAGTATTTTGTAATTGTTGAATGAATGAAGTTGCCAGTTTTAAATAAAAAAAAGATTCATTTGTTTTCTTTGTAGACTAATAGAAAAATTTGTACAAAAAAAACAAACTAAAAAAGAATGAATTCAATTATACCTATGAATATGATTAGATAACAAATAATCCAGTCAAGTAAATGTCTTATTCAACTCAAGTCAATATTTGGGATGGAAATGATTAAGTGAAGAAGAAAGAAAGAAAGAAAGAAAGATTCAAAAGCTCATCGACCTTTTCTTTTATTTTTATTATGAATACACTAACGAAAGAATAAGACTAGTGAGCTTATACAATAAGAATTATAAAACTCCATATGTTGTTAGGTCATTAACACGCTGTAAATGATTTTTCTCTTGTAATTTTTACTAAGAGAGAGCTTATCTCGCTAAAGAAAACTGACTAATTCGAAGACCTCCTATCGTCTCAAATACATTTAACATGTTATCAGCACCTTCTTATCTCTATATTGGTAAAAGAAAACAACAATATATATTTTCTCTTCAATTATTTCCTTCGAAGCTAATCTCTTGAGAACATGAACAAGTTACATATAAATGAAATTTAGCAAAGCACTAGGAAATCTAATAAATGTATATATATATATGCCTATGTGTGCGTGTAATCAACGTTTTATATAGTTGTATAACTTGCGTAATCGTTAGGAAAGAAGAACAAACAAATAGCGTGCTGCCATAAAGAATCAAGACCAATTACTTTCTCTCTTATTCTTTAACACTCACACAAGCAACTATGTGTGGAATTATTTCATCGATTGCCCTTTCTCCAAAATCAATAGCTTATCAACTGTACACACTCCACATCGAAGGTCATAAAACATATAGACAATAATAAAACTCATCATATTCGTTTATTTTTTCCTTTCTTATTCTTCTCAATTAGTGAGCAAACTAATCTAACCAAGAATATAAACATAAGTCATCATAGAACTAATTTTTTTTCTTCTTTTGTATCAAAAATACATATACAATCCCAAGAATTAAAAAACAAACAAAAACAAGAAAAAAAAACCATGAGCATATATAAACAAAAATATGCCGAGAAAATACAATAGAAATATGTAATTTTAATCTGACTTTATTAAGTTTATTTTACAAAAGCCGACCACGACAATTTTTTGATCCACAAAAACATTTCACTTCACGATCGGGTAATAGTTCACAGTTATAATGCCATGTAAGTTCTAAAACAAAAAATAAAATTTGATAAGAGTCAATATATTCTTATTGAACGAATTATTTAATCGGTAATTTAAGAGTTATATAAGTTATAAAACTTATACATGATATGTTATCTTTTATTAAATGACAATTGTAATTCAATACTTTTAATTAAAGAGAAGTTCGTTTTTTTTTTATTATGATAGAATAGTAAATATAAAGTAGTAATTCTATTATTATCCAAATGGAAAAGAAAATCAAATTGATAATTCTATGTTAACGCTTGATATAAGTTTATCGTATGTATGAAGTTTGTACAAGATTAGTAAAGCGCATAATAGAAAATATCATTCTTTGATTGTTTGATCTTGATGATAAGGTTACAAAACTTAACACGAATAGCTAAGCAAATAATGTACTAATTATCTATCGAAGAAAAATATTGTCTATTATTTGTAGTTCTATACGACAATTTGTAGATTCATATCGATTATTCTCATAAAAGATCATTTTCAGTTGTTGAATGTGTTTTATTTTCATAATTTAATTAAAGTTCTGCCTGTTATAGAATGTTCTCGTTAATCAATTAATTTTTAGCAAAATTGAAATTTAATTAGGATATTTACACATTAAAATATGCTTCGTTTTTAAAGTTTTAAGCTAAAAATCGAGAAAGACCTAAATTGACATTATTTATGAGCTTCTAAAATCCCTAAAAATATCTCTCCCAATCTTCAAAATCGTTTTCGTTTTTTGAATAATTCATTATAATAGAAGACTACTGCTCTCCTGAAAAATATATACGATTACGATAAAACTACTCCAACTGACACCCACCATTTCAGCTTATATTAGATCCACAAACAGGTGTCAGTGAGATTAGCAAAAGCTCAAAAGGACAGAGATATGGACCGTCTAAAATTCATGTTAACATTTTTATTACACATTCTCTATGAGGTAAAAAGAGCAAAAAAAAGACACTTCAGTATTGATTCTATCTCTGCCAAAGAGTTCGTCTTCGTGGGCCTTTGCGACCGAGTTATGACAGTTTTACTGTGCTTTTAATCCATTTTAACGCATTTTCCAAAGAACCAAATAACTGAGTTTCGATCTAAAATGTTTTTTTTTGGCTAAAACTTTCAGGATATTTAATAAGTCGTTAGACCTATCTATAGGCAAAATTTTCGATCGAAACTTCATAATATAATATTTCGTGAATTACTTATAAACGACTCGAAAATCCAGAAAATTTGTCATAGCTCGGTGTCAAAGGGCCATGGGAACGAACTCCTTTAGGTTTTTTCTAGTCTCACCGAGTCCTCTTTCTGAACCTAATATGAGCTCAAATGGCGGATATGAGTGAGGGTTTATTAGACAATGATATCTCTTCTTTTAATTATATTTTAAATTAAAAGTAAGAGATCTATAGTTTAAGATCATATACTAAACAAACAAGAATATAATTCTCCTATTTCATTGTATTAGTTTTAATTAATATACTCTTAAAAATCTTCATAGATATATACCTTGACCAGCTTTAACATGTGTTCGAGTAAATAAAGCAAGATTAGGAAAATGAAGATCATGTGATTCAATAAATACATTTTGAATAAACATATTTGGTTCACATGAATGATTAAAATATTTTCCTAAATTACTATACAAACTTCCATCAACAACATATGGTTCATCATCATCATCGTCATTAACATCATCATCACCATCTTCATTATTAATTTCATAACGAACTTGTTTAACTAAATCAAGACTTGTTTGATATTTATCATCTATACTTTGAGCACGTTCATGTCCTTGATCGGATGTTAATAATTCTCCAATATATTGACATATAAATGTTCCACGTGGTAAATCATGTAATGCACGTAAACCCCAACCTTTTAATTTATCTTTAAACATTTGTAAATGTACAAATAAACCTTGTTGTACAAGACGGTTTGAACAATGTTCACGATGACATGAACATTTTGAATTACATTCATATACACCACTTGATATTGGATTAAGTAAACGTTTACGTTGATAACCTGTTGTTTTTAACATATATGAAAGTGTATAACGATTTTTTTCTTTTTCAATAACTAATGGATCTTGATTAAGTTGTGCTTGATTTAATGTTTTACGAAAACAAGCACATTTCATTCGATCATTACAACTAAAATAAAATTCAAAAAAAAAACGAAGTAAACAATTGAAGCCTTCCATACTTCCTATCATTGATTTTACAGAGGTAATTCCGAACAAAAGTATCAAATGAACTGAACGGACAAGAGAACTGCTCGAAATGATTCACTATCTTTGAGCTCATATTTTGGACATATAGAGAGAACCTCTAGACTAGAATAACCCTTAAAGGATTCGGGGCCCATAGGTCTTCTCTACAGAGATATAGCAATTTTACTTGAGTTTTAGCTTATGGCACAGTAAGTATAAACAAATTGACTAATGATTTTTCGACTTGAAATTTTGTTCACAGATAGATCTACTTGTAATTAGAATGTTCTGAAAATTTCAGCTGAAAAGAATGTTTTCTTCGCAAGATATTGAATGTCAATAAAACATGAGATTCTCGCATCTTTTATGGGATCTGAGTGATTTTTGAAAATTCAATATCTCACAAAGGAAATATTCTTTTCAGCTGGAATTTTCAGAGCATTCTAATTACAAGTAGACCTACCTATAGAGGAAACCTCGAACTCTTTTAGGGTTATTCTACCCTAGAGGTCCACCCTATATGCCCAAAATATCTGCTCAAAGTGATGAATCACTTCGAGCGATTCTTTCATGAGCCGAAGAAAGTTTGTCCATGATTTTCTCCTCAAAAAAAGCTTTGGTCTATGGATTGGGTCGAACTCGGCACAACCTGTTGAGGCGTTTGACTCATAATATGAAAGATGGTCTCCGAGCTTCAGTCATCAGAATCTTTTAAGCTTCTCTTTAGGTTTGCAACATAAAGAATATAACTAGTAAGTGCCAGCAGATGTGCGAATTGAAGAGAAAACTACGGTTTACAAGTTAACAAAGGCCGGTTTTTTTTTATTTTCGATTTACTTTTTGAGAGAAATGAATCTTTTTTCATAGGGGTACCTCTAATTTCCTAGAAAACCACTGTCAAAAGCAAATAAAGGAAATTTTTAAAAATGCAGCTCTGTTAAGTTATAGCGGCAAGTATTGACTACATTTATATAAGGATCATTCTTGAACAATTCAATATTTTTAGCAGTAATCTTTACTATAGATCGTCTAAAAATTTGAGATAAATCAATAGTTCTGGAGCATAAATAGGTTTCTGACGGAAGAAGAAATTAATTAACTTACTTATCAGTACAATCACAACATGATGTCATATTTGTATCATTAAGTGCTGCAGATATTCGATTATCAATAGGTTGAATTTTTGTTATATAAGTAAAATTATCTGGCTTATCATTGTCAGTATCATTATATACGGATATTTCAACATTTTCTTGTCCTTTTGAAAGATCATTAAGTATAATAAATTTTTTATCATAATCATCAATTGAAGGTTTAAAACGTGTTAAAACTCCATCAACAAAAAATTTTATAGATAATTTTGATTGTGTTAAATAAAGATATTGTTCAATATCATCAAGTGAATAAAGTGTACGACGACATGGGGTTCGATAACCACGAGGTTTACTATCAACAATTGACCAATTACATTCAAATGGAAGTAAAAATGGATTTGTTTGAATTTTTTTAGGTGAAAAATTTTCTTCAGCTATTAAAACACATTGTCGGCTACATTTATGTGATGTTGATGGTAAAGTATTGAGTATTCGAAATTTTGGTAAAAGAATATTCGTATAGTAAGTTGTTACAATATTACTACGTGATATTGTTGAAGTTTTTTCATTGGATATAGATGATGAAGAAATCGATGATTGATGTTGTATTGATATTTGTTTAGTATTAGATTCATCACGAAGTTTCTTACCACCTAAAAAGTTTCAAAAGATAAACTCAATATATCTGAGTCTTTAATATTAATATCCTGATCGAAGAATACGATACATTTACCGTGAAATACGACACATTAAAGTGACCGCTTCTCTCCGTAAATACAAGGTCAGTTATACGATCCTATGTATGATAGAATACGAACAAAATTACAACATCTTTGCAGTGAGAATACAGTGTCGTATACGGACAGTGACACTAAGTGCGATATAAAGATACGATACGACACGACACGACATAAAAAACGACCGCTTACGGTAATGTTACGGTGATCCGTAACGATTGAGTGCAAATAATTTACATGAAATTGTTTCGAAAAGAATGAGTTTCGCATACATATTCTTTTCAGTTATAATTATCTTGTAAATCAATGCATTTTTTTCTTTACTGAAAAAGTTAAAATAATAATATTTATGAATATTATTATGGTTGCAAGTATAGTCTTCTTGAATTACAAGACAAAATATAAATATTCCTATATGATACTATAAATTAATACTTATATCCAAATTTATCATTTGACAAAGCTTCTTCATAAGACATTTTTGTAAATACTATGTATCAATTGATCTTGTGAAACCTCTTGTAACAATGAAACTGTATTGAAGATGAATAGATATCGGATGAACTTTGTTTGCACTACCGCTGGTAAAGCACACATTATACTGAACGGTCTATCAATGATTTTGGTTCGGTTCGAATCACATGAATCCTTCAATAATTGAGTTCGATAATTGCGAAAGTACGTTTACTATTTTGAATAAATACATTCTCAACTTTTCTCGTTATAAACTTTTTTTTTTGTACAATATTATTGTTGGATTCCAGCAGTAATAAATTGAATTCATTCTACAATAATCTTTTTATAGAGAGATGAACTTGGCTCATATACAACTAATGATAAAAGTAAAGTCAAAGAGATATTCGAAAAACTTGATGTTTAATAATACATGTCTTTCAAAGTTTTTATAGAAATCTTTTTACTTTTTCATACATCTAGCAGATAATGAAATTATTATCTATTCAAAACATACCTTTATTTGTATTACTACTATGACTTTTTCGTTTTCGTAATCGTGATAAATCAGAATATGAATTACTAATTTCTTCTGTTGGAGTTTGTGGTGATGGTGGAATTGTTAATCTTGTTAATTGTGATATTTGTTGAGATTGTTCAATAATTGATGAATTTGAATGAATCCATATTTCTTTTTTTGATTTTCGTTCAAAAAAACAAATTTTTATTATTGAATAATCAATATCAATAATACGAACATTATGATATTGTGCACCAAATTTTCGTACACGAATTATATTACCTATAGTATAATTTGATTGTCTAGATAGATTTGAATTTTGAAAAGCATGTTGATAATGTGATCGTAAATCTTTATAATCAATATTTAAAATATGTCGTCGGAAATCTTGACATAAACAAAGATGAAATTCTGAATGTGAATGATAAGAAGCTGTAAAATTATCATATAAAACAAGATATCGATTTTTATTTTTTATGGAACAAGGCATTTCATATATAAAACCAAGCATTGATAATGAACGATGAAGTACACGTGTTTGTATAGGTACATTTAAAGATGAACATGGTTCATTCATATATGCTTGTCTTTTAGTTATACATTCGGAAGTTGACATACGAGGATTATGAACCTCAAGGAAAAAGAGATCTTTGTTTTTTTACATTTTATGAATAGATCTTTATTTAAATTACCATGACTATATGAGTATCTTGAAGATTTGAATAAGTTACAGCCGTTGTACATATTCGTATAGGTAAATTTGGCTTTACAACAATTAACTTAGTATTAGTTTCAAGTTTTCCAATTAAATCTTTTAAAATTAAATTCTCATCCTTTTCGTCTGTATCGGTGCTTGACTGTTCATCAATTGTAATATCATTTTCAGCATCATCATCATCATCATCATCATCATCAAGAATTATTACAACATCCGGTTTATCCTAAGTAAATATAAAGTTTAAATAGAATTGTTGTCTAAATTTTAATGAGAACTTACGTGTGTTATTGATGATACACTTGAACAAGGAGTATCAAAAATAGATGATGATTTATTGTCATCATTGACTTCTAATACATAATAAAAATGAATGAAAATGAATTTTATCTTTAAGATCTTATTACTAACTTTTTTTATCTTTTGAATTTGTTACCATTCGATTAAATGGATTGGTATTTTCTTTACTCTGCTATAAAATAAAACTTCAATCATATATATAGATACATATATAGAAAAATTATTAACAAAACAATTTACTTGTTCGAAGAACATACCCGTGTTCTTCAATAGTATAAATCAAAAATAAATTCACACAATAAAAAAATATAGTTTTCTATCTGAAAAACAAATAAAATATTGATATAATTGTTGTTTTAATTAAATAAAAATAAAAGTTAATCATAGAAAAGTATGAATAGAAAATAGATGACTATTATCAAACTAATTCTTGAAATAGAATCCAAGGTCTCTTGTTAAACTGACCAATCGAAATATTGAAGGAATAATATTAAACAATCTTATTTGCTCTTTCTCGTTTTCAGCAAAACATGTGCTCACATTCTTTACACAAAACATCAAGTAAACAACTCTAGAATTTCGTATTTGATTATTTGTTTAGATGAGTCATCATTTTATATTGTTAAAACATCAGTAATAAAAAAAACTCGTCTATAACAATTCTTTTAAAACAAAAATCTAACTTTGATTAAAACCCTTATTTCTAATAAAAAAAATACTATAAACTGATATATGTCAAAACACCTATTCATAGACAAATAAAAGACTACACATAATCTAATAAAAAATAAATTGGGTAAAAAAAGTACGTGTTTGTTTTTTCTTGTTGTAGATATCCTGCAATACGTGATTGGACATTGTTATCAATGAAAGAATAAAACATATACTATCTTTGATGAAATATCTATGTGGTAGTGAAGTAATAAATCAAGAAATGAAAAGAATGACTGCAATACATAGACAATTTAACGTACAATTTTTACCTGTTGAAGTTTACATCTACTTTTTTCATTTTTCTTTTTTGTTCTCCTCTCGCTCGAAGACAAACAGAGACGCTCACATTTTCAAATCAAGGTTGCCATTATATAAGCAATTCAATTTGGAGAATGAAGAAGATATATGGTAAGTGGTAGAATCGATAAAAAAAGAATCAGCAAAAAAATATATTAATAAAAAAAGATGATGATTGAAGTATAAATTTAGAATAAATAAGCTAAGCAGAAATTTTTACAACTATCGTTTGCCCTTCAACCTAATTAAACAAGAGTACCACACGAGTGCAACCTTTTGTACCTGTACTCGTATCGATAGTTCGAATGATAAATATATCATTTTCTTTATTCTGATTTAGACAAAATGAAATACTAGCATTGCAACTATCATAAAATATAAACACAAATTAAAAATAAGTCCAACGTATAAAAAATTAGCAACTACGTTAGACTTTTCTCCTATTTGAACTCTAGAGCATTTCACAGGTATTGGATTTTCTATGTGGGTTCTACTGGTATCAATATCTTTCATATTCGTAAACAGACACAAGTATCTGACCCGACAGATGCAGTGCTCGAAATTGAACAAATACTCTCAAAATAACAAGAAATAAATTCATATCTTCATTTACTATCCTGTAAATCATACACATGTTAAAAAATTTGAATGATATATTCGTACGGTTTGATCATAGCGTTCCTTAGAAATAACAATAAATATTGGCATTCGAGAGTTTTTTTTTTTGTCTTATTTTCATAGACACTACGATATATTTTTTGTGTAACAATGATTTATTTTTAAATCTAATTAATCTACAGTACTTCGAATTATAATTTTATTTTAATTAGAAACCATATCATATTTTACATAGCATAATCATACGAGAAGCTACATTGTGATAGTGATACTTTCCCACACATGAAATAGGAATAGGAATTCCGAAAGTCTTAGGAAAACGGGAGAAAACATAATTGTATAAAAATAAGTATCAAGAAAAATCGTTCTCGCAAAACACTACCTGAGATAAACATTTAAAAAATTGTTATTCATGGTTTGAATGAATAATCATAAAAACAGAAGGTCACTAATGTTTAATATAAACCATTTGTTAAATTTTCATTGTCTAATCTATTGAATAATTATCATTTTTGCTCCATAGAAAAACAAACATTTTTTTTTTTATATAACTACAATTCATTGCTGGAAAATAATCAAATTATCATTTTTGATCAATCTGAAATAAACGAATGTTTGAATTTTATTTTACAATTGTAAGAGATTTGTTTTTTTTTTTCAAATTTATTATTTTAATCAGATATATCTCTATCATGGTAACATATACAGTATTTCAATAGAGATCTTATTAGACTACAAAATTATGTAATATTCAAAATTGTCCATTCATTAATTGCAAAAAATTTGTATCCATTAAAACTATTTGAATAATAATTTCTTTGATTGATAATAAATATTTTCTTTGTTGAAAAAAAATAAATCAAATTTTCTATTATATTAGATTATATTATATTATAGAAGTTTTTAAGAGTAATGCAAGAAGAAATTAGTTAATCAAATGAGTAAAGCAACAAAAAAACAAAAAGCTTTTATTTCATTCACACGGAACAGAACAGGAATATTATATCACCAACAAGCAATATAAGAAATTTGAGATCTATAATAAGTTTTGATTCATTCATATCGATATTATATGGATACATATATATTATTCGAAGTCATTATACATGCGATCTTTGCTATAAATATTAACCGATTGATATAATACATAAAAAACAAGTGCAGCAAAAGCTACAGCCAATATCCATATATTTGAATTACTACTTGATTTTGATTTGGGAGTGTTAGATGAGATTTGTTTCGTATCGGATTTACGTTGTTGGCGTTGTGATGGTGCCATGACTTTATTTATGTTCTCAAAGTATGTACACAATCTACAAAGAAAATATAAAACAACTCTATATAATTATATAAATACTAGCAAAAGATTATTTTATGTATTCCGTATTTATTATCATTCAATTTATAAATGAATTTTTATCGATAATCACTAGAGATTAAAGTATTTAATATCTCTAAGTGATCAATTCTCCATGTAATTCAAACTGGACAAAATCCGTAGTCTTCAAAGAGAAATTCAAAGTCTCTAAAAGAATATAATATTCTTTCAGCAGTAGGAAAAAAAATGATATTTGATTATATCTATCATAAACAAAATCGAGAAAATTTATCAAGTCATTCAATAATTAATGAAAACAAATAAGAATATTTGTATTATAGAAATAGAGAATGTGATCATTAAACGACATAAACTAATCAAATATTGATCTTCTATATTTAGAAAAAAAATAAACTAACAACAAACATATCTCATAGATACTGACTGCTAAGTATCAGATAATATATAGTTTAAAACGTTATAATTATCAGTAGATGTCTACTAACAACCTGTAGATGAATCATAATTATAAAAAAATATCTAATAGGTCAAAAATAAAAACGAAATATAAACAGCATTTTTAATTAGTGTACTCTAAAGTTATATTTTTTTGACCGAACAATATGACCTGCATACGATGAAATACGAAACATTAACAAGCTCGTATGTCCTCGTAAATATGAGACCAGTAATATGATCATATGTATGATACAATACGGCAACATTACGACATCTTTATGGTAGGAATATGTTCAGTAATAATGAGCATATTATAATGATATAATATGGCCATCTATGGTTGAATATGACACATAAAAATCCGGGTACGGTAATTTACAATGATTCGTAAAGATCGATCAGAATGTTCGTTCACTAATGAATTACATAAATTGAATCAGTTATATGATTTTAAAAATATCAATAATTTTATTAATACCGGAACTTTTTCGTTCAATCAAAAAGTTTGTCTTTGTAGTTACTTCCTTGTGGCAACAATATGTAATGGACTTTAAAGAACCAATCACTATAAGACAATCTAATATATATATTAGCTAGAGAAAATAAAATTTATTACATTAATTATGAATATATTACAATGATTTTTCTATGAAAATGCTTATTATTTATCAAAAGAAAATTATTTATTATTTCTGTCGATTATTTTCTTTTGATATATTTGTATAGAGGTCACTATTGGCATGATTTTGTAAAGCCGTGATAATTGTCGAAAAGTGGATTATGATTTTGATGTAATTGCAAGAAGACTTTTCAATATTGATTATTCAAATTCAATACGTTTGAAATCATTGAATAAAATATTCAATGCATCAAATTCTCGTAATCGATATTTATAAACAAAACGAAGTGTAACTATTAATTTATTTGATTCATTAAATAATTTTTCATAATAATAATAATAATAAAATATTAAGAAAAATGAACATACATTTTTTGATTTCCGTTGAAAACTTATTCGTAATTTATTGAATAGATGCAACAGATAATCTTCAATTAAATAGTAATAGATATTATCCTTTTACTTTTGCTCAATTTATCTAATTGATGAAATAAAATAAAAAATTCTTGAACGAAATAGGTAATTACAACAAAGAGACAATCATCACAAAAAACTTCTTATATAAGAGAAACGCTTGAACAAACGCAAGGTTTTTGATCATATCAATTCTATTTCGTCTAATCGAAAAAAATCTAATCATGATAACAAAAGCAACATTTGAATAGTTATATGACGACGAAGTAAAAGAAAATGTAGTGAATAAGTAATGTTCATAATAATAGGTGAGAACATTTACATTTGACAATCAATTTTCGTAACAACACGATCGCAATATTTACTATTCAATTGATTTGAATCTAAAATAAGAGTCCTTCTTTCAGTTAATCTAACTTCTACAACACTAAATTGACATTCTGATTCGAGCATTTGTTTGTTGCTGAAATCAAATGATTTCATCAAAGTACTCTCGAATGATAAAGCAATGTATCAGCATTTAATTTCCAAAAACGTAAGAACCAGACTAAATATTATATAGATGAATTAGACCAGGCTAGGCATACGTGGAACTCAAACGTTCGCTTCGTGTTCGGAAGAAACGATTCGCGTTCAATTTCGAAAATTATCCAATCAGTTCAAACACTGTCGGATGTTTGCTCAAGCGTTTCTTGAGGTATATGGATAATCATACAAGCACTCTAGAATTCGATTAAATTCGAACATTATTAACCTTTCTAGAATACCTGCAGACCTTCGGTTTTTAGATCATTTATTCCACTGTGTGTGGATCTATCAAACTCAAGCCTGAAATACTTTCTTTTTGCTTACTTCTACTTCCTTTTATAAATTGACTAAGAATGATCATAACCGAGGTCGAAACCGAACCAGAATCTTAGGGTTTGACGAATACACCTAGGCCAAGCGGGCAGCTCTGACTAATGAAAAATAAGTTAGTTTGACATTTTTATCCTCTGTGTAATGTTGTTTTCATTAATATTTTTCTTTCTGCTTTACATCATTATGAAACAATTATACTAATTAAAAACACAGGTCAGTTCAACACTCTATATTATAATCTTTATATTGAAGATATTTTGAGATGTTTAGTTTTTCATTTTAAGAATATTTAATAATTCAAAAACAAAAAGTATAAGTCTATATATTTGAAAAATAAAAGTTTATAAAATAAAATAAAGTCAACGTCGTTGTATTGTTTGTTCAGAATATCCTCGATCGTCAAATGCTTCATTAAGTTCACCATATTTAGATACAACATTTTTTTGATGAATTACTTTTTGCATTGTTTCAATATTTGGTTGTTTCATACCAAGAAGAAATGCAAGAATTGCAAGTATTAATATATTAAAAAATGCAATTATAGCTAATATATATGCCCATCGAATTTGACAAGTATCTATATAAAAATTATTAGCATTTTGTCCACATACTGATCGAATTGTATCATTATCAAAACCTGCTGGATAAACAATAAGAGCAATAAATAAACAAATTGCACAAATCATTTGTATTAATGCACAAATAAAATAAACAAGTCGAGCACGTATAAATAAGAAAATTATAAATAATCCAAGACATATGAGAATTAGTAGAGCTGAAAAGCCAACGAAAAATGTAGCAACAGCAAAAGGTGTAGTAAGTATTGTTCCAAAATTTGTCCATGTTCCTTGACAATGAAATTCATAATCAGTTATTGTACTTACACAATATGAATATAAACCAAAATGACCTGCACGAGAACTTGATAGAGTATCACCAATCCATTGTGGTTGTACAAATATAAATATATTAATAATAGCAAAACAAGCTGTAAGAAATGCCCAAACAAAGCCAATAATTCTTGATGTCCATTTATACGATGAACTTCGTTGTGTTACAATTGTCTTCATCATTCAAGAAATAAATAATCAATGAATGATCTATTTTCTTTTGTTCATTGCTTTACTGCATAGTCACTATGTAATTTGCCTTTCCTAATCCTTACTTCTTCTTTTTTTCTATTCTGATTCATTGTCCTTCGCATCTTACTTTAGACGCGCGTAGGAGATCTACATTTAAAGTTCGTCGTATGATAAACAAGAATAAGCATGGGCGAGAATAACGCATATTTTGTTCGTTTTTCTTTCGTTGTTTAGTCTATATGACATTTTTAGAAATTCACTCATCGAAAAGTTCAAGGATTTTTCTCTTCAGAATGGAATTTAAAAAAAAAAGAAGTAAAGGAAACAAAGGATATACATACTATTCACTTATCGATGATGACAAAACAAGTGTGTTATATTTACTAACACAGCATTAAATCTATCTCATATCTACAATTTACATGGAGCTTATCATAAGGTGTTTATTTTAAAAAAAAAATGTATGTGACAAATACAAGCTGTTGGATAAGCAGCAAATGAAAGCCTTATTTAAATCTAATAGACATACTAAATAGTTTTCATTCCGTTTATATTTATAAAAATCTTTAAATAGTTTAGCAAGAAACGATGTAATATAGAGAAAATAGTATGAAGATCCGTGAAGAAGACAAGCATGATGCCTGCTAGGACACATAGAATCTTCAATATTTTGCATATATTAGTTTTTTTCTACTCAACTAAAACGTCAATCGTGGAGAAATGATCAATGTCCTCGAACAAACTACTTAGAATATTGATTCAAATCTTTTTAAAAAGCAGAACAACCTATTGTTTGATTCGTTCATTTGTTCTTAACTAGTAATGTTGCTGAAATCTGTACTCCAAAATGCAGTATCCATGTTGATATATTTCTTTGTGAAATAATCAACAAAGCAATATATTCTGTCATCAACTTCAGTATAAAACATAAATTGATACATTATAAATAGTTTTCATAACAACGATAGTAGTACTATGTAATACTATATTCTTATTTGCATGTTCATGATCAAAAAAAAAATTAATATTTTTGTTATCATAAATCTGATTATTTGAGTATTCTATTATATCTTTCTTAATACATAACTTATGCTTATAATTTATTGTCAGATATTAATTAATATCGTTGCTTTCTATGTTTGAAGATTCAAAAGTTGATGATGTTAAATATATGTACAAGAATATTTCCAAACACATAAACTTCATCTAGATATGATTCAAAGGAAATCTTTCTATTTGAATATGTTTCTATATTCATATTTATATTGTTAAGATAAAATTGAAGTGTTTCTTTTCGAGGGCTTTCTTAATAAAATTCAAGTGATGTTTTGTTAAGAAGGAAGAAATAAGATGTATAAGTGATAGAGGAACAAAGACATTGTTGTTTTAAATGGATAGAATCTATAACTAATAAAAATACAATAATGTACGTCTATGATATATGAAATTATCATTTTACCGCTAAACTTCATGCATTTAGTTTTTTTTTGTGTCCCTATGAGTACCTTTTTTAGCGACGTTTGTTCCTTCAATAGTTCAATCTCTCTTGATTATAATTTTACCATACAATTAAATGACAAATTGGTTCAAATAATGCAACTATTTTCTAACTATGATATCAATGAAAACTGAGTGAAAATAACATTTGCATATATATATGTATGTTTGTTTGTTTGTTGTTTGTATATTTTGAACAAATCTTTTCACAAAAATTTGCATAGAATGACTTTTCAAAGAAAGCTTTCATCTTAGAATCTCTCATGTCTACAAAACAATGTTGTAAAATTATAAAAGTCATTTGTTGGTTGATGGTATTAGATATATAATTAGTTAGGTATGAAACGAATGAATATAAAAACATTCTATGTTTTCATTCTTTCCCATATAATATGATGCGGTGCTGAGCAACCAACGAACACACATACACAATCACATACAGGTGTTGATCAATTTTTGTAACAGTCACTCTCAAATTGCCTTTTTTTTCTTTTCTCTTGCTCATACCCCATTCTCAATTCGAAGAGTAGAAATAAATCTTATCGACATACACCTCAATAATAAGTGGCCGCATCACATTTCATCAACAAGACAAACACACGCTTGTACACAATCACAAAAATATTTATTTACGTACAAAAGAAAAGTGGTTTGTCCTTGTAGAATGACCGATCTAGATTTTGTTAGATCAGTACTCTATTCAAAAAGTATTAATTCAAGCGATGTAAAGCCATATACTGGTCTTCACTTCAATAACAGTGGTAATATAAAACAATAAGTTTTATTTATTTATTTTAATTAAGTTTTATGGATCCAATAGTAACAAAAAAATAATTACTTTTTTCTTCTAAAACTATTGTTGATAAAATGAAAATGAAATAGAAATTGAACAAAAGATGAATGACTTTTATTTATTTATATTTTTAAGGTGATTTGATTTTGTCAACACCATCCCTCGATTCATGTCGTGTTAATAACGATCCAATTTATCGATACGCAGGAAACATATCTACTCATCTTCCTAAAAGAGTAGACTATCGTATCTTGTCGTATAATTCACTTGAAAACCGTCGTTATCATTCTCTTCGAATGAAGCAACCCGTTCCACATTATGTAACTCGTATTTACGACGAACGATGTAAATATATATTTCGATCTAGAAATTAATTTATATTCTTTTGTTTGTTTTTTTTTTATTTTAGTTGGTTCTGCTGTTTCACCTCGTACTGAACCATCACGAACAATTCGTATTAATAAAGAACCTGGCTATCAATTACTTGTTGATCAAATTCCAAATCAAGATCAAACAATGATATCACAACGTTTCAATAAATTAAGTCCATTTGTTACTGAACATGGAAATAATCCCAATGCTAATCCTATTCTTCGAGAAACAGCAGTTTAAATTCTTTTCTTCGATTTCATTATTTAAATAAATATTCATGTGAATCGATAAAATCATCGAAAGGTTTGAGTAGATTTTCTCTTTTATAATTCCATTTCTTTTTTTTAATAAACAAACAATTTATGGTAACTATACATATTTAATGATAACATCCTAGAAAGTATATGTTGGCATCAATGTTCATTCAGATAAAAAAAAAAAGCTAAATTTCTTTCATATCGTTGTTTCATATTATGAATGTATGAAAGCAAATGCAATGATCTATATCATTAATTTCTCATCAAACTAAATTAAACTTTTTTTTTTGTTTCAATAATATATTTTAACTTGATTATTCAACTATAACACAATAGAAAAATATGTTGTCGTAGAAAGTCTAATAACCCTAAGAAAAAGAATCCATTAAATAGAAAAACAAATAAGTAAAATATTTTTGTTCTTATTGCTATTTCTATAACAACTAAAAAACTTCGAAGTTTTGAAAAAGAAAAAGAAAAAGTGAGATAAAATAAGAATCAACTACAATAGATTGTCGATGAATGAAATGCTCAACAACTAATGTCTATCACAAGTAAAATATAGAGTCACATAATGAATCATTTTAATTCTTTTTTGAGTCATAATTTTTACTGAAATATTTCAGTTTTTCTTCTGGATTTGGAATAATTGTATCACCACCTGGACGCCAACCAGCAGGACATACTAAAATAAGACTTATTAAATTTTTTAAATTTTTTATCATTTCATTTTACCTTCGCCATGTTTATCAGTATATTGAAAAGCTTGAAGAAGTCGAAGTGTTTCATCAGTTGATCGACCAACAGGAAGATCATTCATTGTAATTTGACGAAGAATACCACGTCCATCAATAATAAATAATCCTCTAAAAATATATATAATTATATTTAAAAGAAAACAATCTTTACTTTTTTTTTCTTTCTATTCATACCTTAATGCATGGCCAACATCTTGTAAATAAACACCATAATCTTTTGAAATTTGATGTGTTAAATCAGATAAAAGTGGAATTTGAATTTTGCCTAAACCACCTTGTTCACGAGGTGTATTGATCCATGCTAAAAAAAAAAAGAAAGTTTTCTTGAAAATTTTAAGACAATAAATAATACAATCATACCTAAATGAGTAAATTGTGAATCAACAGAAATGGCAATAACTAAAAAACTTACATAGATATTATTGAATTAGAAAATAAACAAATGTACCTTCAGTGTTAATATTTCTAAATTCTTGAATGCGATCGGAGAAGGCAATGATTTCTGTTGGACACACAAATGTACTTGAATAAACAAAAACATAAAAACAAAAAAACATTAGAAAAATTTTCTTCGTATGCATTAAACTTACAAATCTAATGGATAGAAAAGAAGTACAAGATATTTATCTTTAAAATCATTTAAACTAATATCTTTAAACTCTCCGTTAATCACAGCTAAACCTTCGAATGGTGGTGCTGGTTTACTAACTGAATAGATATGTATGTAATTATTGATAGTATTATCAAAATAAAAACCTAACTTTGAGCTTTGCTATATTGTAAACTAAGTGGTTCTCTACTCGGACGACTTTCACATGGATAAGCTGCAACACCGTCTAGAGGTTCAACACATACTGGATCTTGTTTTTTACATAAAATCAATGGACTGCTAATAAACAATACAATTGCTAGAGTAATAAATGACATGTTTGAATCACTTCAATTAAATGCTTTTCTTTAATATATAAATCTAAAATATAAATATTGTTTTTTGTTTTTAGTGAGACGGATAGATGTAAAAGTATTAATTAATTAAGAACTACGCATGAAAACAACATTGTCCTCCTTTTTGTCTTCATCACGGGATAGACCCCACTAAAAAGCTCGCTTGCAATAACTAATCATCGTCATTGCTGTGACTTATATTTATAAAACCAATCATTAAATAGCGCTAGTGTTGATTAATTGAAAGCATGATTAAAAGTATATATTACCAATTATTCATGAGCGTGACCAGTCATTTATGGTCTCGTTGGGACTGGAACCATCCTGTCGATATCTATTACTAATGTATCATTGCTCTTCTTTTGCGTCAAATAGTAGCATAACTAGATGAAGACTCAGCTTCTCTCCTACTAACGGTTGAGTTTCACTTTGAAAAAGGGAATGAGCTTCAGTGTGTGGGTCGAGTATCCAGGCTTCATTTATGTACATGAAAATCTAGAAGAATCTATAAATATCTTATGTTCATCTCAAAAATAAAATTTTTCCATATTGTCGTACTTCCTCCAGCGGCCCGGAAGTGAAAAAAATTTATTCCATTTGTAAAGAAGTTATTTATATCAGTTCATCAAAGATGTTGTATTGATTATCAATACATCAAATTTTTTAATATGACCGTTCAGTATTGATAAAATATTCTCAATATACAGGCCCCTTCATATAAGAAAATAGACTATTCTATGGGGATAACCTTGCAAGTTGACAATGACTTGTTGGTAATCATGTGTTCTGTGTCACAGAGTTGAACACACTGGAATATCATATAGTCAAGAAATAACCTAGATCTAAGACCAATTTTAAATATGAAGAAAACAATGATGACAACTATTGATTATAGAAAATCAAAGAGCAGCACCTGCATCTGTCTCGAATCAAGTTTAGAAACAAAATTTCCATAAGTATATCTTAGGGGTTATAATATTGATGAGAACCATATATATTTCCCAAGGATTATAATCAGCACAAAAAAATTTTCATAAAACTTAATTTCTTATATACCATTCAATACGCCGCAAATTTTTCTACAAAACCACATATATAGTGTCCTTGTTCAAGATAGATCACCAAAATATTATTTGCCCATACTATCAAACATTACCAATGGCAACAGTATAGATTCTAGGTTTAGGAAAAAATCTTTTTTTTTTTATTGTTGCGTTATGATAAGAAAAAATGAAAATAGATCATGATTTTTTAAATAATGACTAGATCTCTATACATGTCTTTTTAAGATTCATTTTCACTTTATATTTATCGATAAATCATTTAAATGAAAAATACGTTTGTCGGCAAAACAAAACGAATTCTCTTGATTGTTAATACCTTGTATGACTTCTCGAAAGATATTCAGTCATCATTCAATATGTTATTATTCGCAGAATGAAACAGACTATTGCATTAGTCAAAATATACCATAGTGACTTATTGTCACAAACATCATGAACTTTATCGATTTTTTCTTGTGTCGTTTTTGAAGTTCTTTCATAACTTTGTAGATTTACTACTGCGCTAGTTTCACAAAAGAATTGAAAAAGTATCTTGGACACAATCTACATTGAGCATTTGTCTACCGAATTCGACTTACATTTTCCTTTTCTAAACGATAAATGATTTGAATTGGACTATTAATAAAACTAATTGTATTCTTATGTGTGTGGAGCATAGAAATTCATCAGAAAATAAATACTCATGTGGCAAAATCTTATGAAAATCGTACAAATATCCTAATGTAAGATTTAATATTTATCTGATTTTAAATCTCACATATACAATTAGTTTTGTGCATTTAAGTAAATATTTAAGCAATTAAATACGTTCTAATTTAGATGTTACTGTTTTTTAGCATGGAAATTATTTCTATGTACTGATGCTGATCTATTTTTAAAAAATCACTAAAGATATAATACTCCTTTCTGATGTTTCTAAAGAATGGACCATCAGAAATATTTGAAACTTTCAGTGTAGATAGATCCTGATGAGTAGAGCAAAAGTTGTCATAGACTCCAAATACCCGAATACTTCCTTTGAAGAAATATCTAGGTCGCAAAGGCTAACAATCATGCCACTTTCTCAGTCGCAATACATCTGATAGAACTGAAATTGTTTTTATAGTTACTAGACACTGTTTGGAATGCCTACTGGTTTTTTTTTCGTTTCTTTTTATCTTTTTCCATTCGAATCAAATAATCAAAATACTGAGCGTATCTCTAAAAATACATATGGACCCTAAATAGTGTCCAATCCCTGTAAAAAAAAGAACTTTTCTTCCATTTAGTTTTTTGTAATTTTTATAAATAAATATCCATATGTGAGTAAAGATAAAAGACTTTCTTAACAAAAAACAAGATGATAGAAGCCGAAAATCAGGCATACAACGTTGTAGAAAACTCTGAAAAATCAGATAGTACGATTTTATCAGAAAATGTACCTTTAAAATTGACATATGAAATCGCACAAGATCTTATAATAGGATCTATATGTCATGTTTATTCAAAATTCTCTACAAAAGATAAATATATAATGTGAAGGTTTAAAACAAAGAGCAGTAAAAAAAAACAAAAGAAGCATTTGATGTTTGATCTGTATCTATTTTACTGTTCGAGATGCCGATTATTATATAATATCAAATTCAATGATGATTTATTATATACATAAAACAAGTGTAACACTTATGAACTATATGATTTAAAGTCTTACACAACAATGTTCAATATTTTCTTATCAATGATAAATAGTAGATGCATTTAATAAACTTAAATTTATTCAAATTTCTTTTTTTTTTTTCGTTATTATTGTTTTCATATAAATAAACAAATATATTCTTGTTCATATATACATAAATAACAATTTGTATGCAAACAAAAGATATATGATGATCAAACTTACTGAAATGTTAATGTTGAGATTTTTTTTCTTTTTCTTTTATTAAATTTCTTCGATTGAAATGAAGAAGGAAGTGTTTGACTTAGTGTATATATGCTTTTATTCTTTATGTCTTTCTCAAATTACAACACATATATGTATTGGATTGTATAGGGCGAGATCGATTGATAAGACGTTAATTCTTTTTTTTTTATTTTATTTTTTGAGACGGCGGAGAGATGTATGTAGAGTAGGAGAATGAAATATGTTTCTTCATGTCTCGTTTTCAAGAGCACGACTAGTAGACAGACAGACGAACAATTGTAATAACAATAAGAAACATCAATCGTTGAATCGAATTTGTATAATAAACAGTTTGATTGAAATTCATCTCAAGTAACACCTAATAAAATTAGTATTGGTTTAGAATACATACATTAAATCAATAGAACTAACGTGAATGACCTTCAAGACTCGATGTGAGCGAAAGTTCCTTCCTTCTTTTTTTTTTTTTTTATATTTCTTTTCATTGAATAGCACCTACCTAATACTACGAATAAAAAAAAAATGAACGAGATAAAATCATACCAGCATCAATTCTATACAACTTAATTCATTATTTAACTCATATTGAAAAAAAAAAATGACAACCTGGTGTGTCTATAATTTAAGTGTACTTAAATTATCGAATAGAAAAAAAAAATGTTATTCTCATAAATTTATTGTAGAGAAATAGGATGTTTCGTCATCATCTTAACTCGATTTTTTGATTGTCTCTTAACATATCTTGTTATACTTGAGTTGACAATTTAACAAATAATTCATTCGATCGATATTAACGCTCTTTTCTAGAGCAGACTAGGTTAGCTGTCTCATTCATCATTTTAAAATCTGAACTTTATTATTGAGCTATATATATATATATATATATGTATGTATGCGTGTGTTCGAAGAGAACAACGAATAAATTGCATTCGCTTACAGTCCTATAGGTTTTTTTTTTCTCTCTCTCTTCTTTTTTCTCTCCCCTTTCACTCAACTCTTTTATTCGCCTATCGATGTGCTTCTTTTGTATGAATATTTGTAGTTGATGTACTCTTTGCTAGATATGTGTTAGCACTTCACATTAGTTCTAAGCAAAGAATCTATGTCTGTGAATCAACAACATAAGAGAATATATATCAGTTTACTTTAGTATGATATACAAATTTATCTTATTTCAATTGATTTCTTATCATTTTCAATGCACCGTTTGATAATACAGTCAGTCCATGTAAGTATTTCAAAATTATAAAACGAATTGAAAATGAAATATCTTTGTTCTTAGGATAAATATAGAGAGCACACACACAAAAAAAAACAAGTTTGTTCTTGTTTTTTTCCTTGCAGCAGTTTCTATTGAAGTTTATTTTCTATAAACATTTAATAATACTTAGATGAGCAAAGAAGAAGATGGTTTACCGCCAATTAGAACATAGTTTAAAATACAAAAGAACAAAGAGCACTAGTAAAAATAGACGTTTTTTTTCCTTCTTTGCCTCGTTTAAATACTTCTACGATTTCTTCGTTTACCTTGTATTTTATCCATAGAAAGAAGATATATAAAAATAATAGTTCTCAGTAGTAAGTAATCAAACAAGAATATCTATATATGCATTTAGTGCAGTCAAAAAAAACAACAATGTAACAAGAAAAGCTAAGAGGACGAAAAATGATTGCAGTCATCCATTTGACATGAACAGTATAAATAGAACAAAAGAGCAATACATTCATGTTGTATATCAAAAAGAAAAACATTTAGAATAATGTCTTTCTTTCATTCTTTTTTTTTTTGTGCTTGACCAATAAATTGAAAATACATCTTTTTAAAATAAAGATTGACTCTCTTTAATCGTGTTCATTCTTTTAAATATATCGAAAAATGGTATTCAAATAATTTGTTCACGCCTCTTTTACATACGATTGAAATTTGATCGAAATCGTCATAGACAAAAAAAATGGAATACAATGCACCCATACAAGTAGGATTTGTCATATTTATGACAAATATATATATATATATAGGAGAAATTCGATCAATCAGCCATCAAATTTTAATTATTCAAAAGAATTACGTCATTGATAATCTATCATTTCTTTTCATTATTTAAATGAGTTAGATCCTTTTTTTATTTTTATTAGAATATTAATTTGTAATAAGAGATTTTTATTTATTATTATAGGGATTATTTATTTATCATTTCGTCAATAGACGATGAACGGATTAGAAACAAATTTATCATTATGGGCAATATGTTCCATAATATTATTTGAAATTTTAATTCTTATTTGTCTATTTCGATGTTGTTTTAATCGTATTAGACCAAAAAAATTTTATCTTAAAGTAAATAAATAAATAAAAAAAAAATTTTTTTTTATATAAATATTTAATTAATTAATTAATTTTAGCGAGAAGAATATGAATATTTACAAGGTATTAATAATAATAAACCAACAAAATTTTCATCAATTATTCTTCGTCCACCACATGCTGATGAATTAGCACTTGTTGGTACTATTCGAAGACCAAATCCTATTATAACATATAATAAAGGTATACAAAATCTTGGTTTTTATTCATATGATGAAGATAAAAAAATTCCACAAATATCATCATCATCATCATCATCATCATCATCATCTCAACATTGGCTTAATTTACAATCACAAACAATAAATACAGCACAATTACCACCAGCTGATTATGAAATACATTCCTATCCGATAGATAATTATTCATATAGATATTCTCCTCTTCCTCGTCCAATTATTACAGATTTTCGTCAATATCATGAAGATTATATTGTTGTTGATGATGATGATGATGATGATCATCATCAATTAGAAAATTATCGATTTCAATCTCTTCGTCGTCCTGAAATAATTCCTTCACAAGTACATCGAATTGATACATCAACTGAATTTTATGGTATTAATTATTCAAATATTGTACCAAAATCTATTCTTAAAAGTACTGTAAGTTTAACACCACCAAATGATTTTCTTCCAACACAACATTTACAAATACAAGATAGTTCAACATCATCAAATTCTGATGAATCTTTACAAAATTCAATTGAAAAAAGAATTTCATTTGAAACAATTTTACCATCAACTGCACCAATGTTATCTAATTTTCAAATGAGATTTGCTAGTATTAAACAATTAAATGATATTGCATGGGAAATTCCAAGAGAATTTCAAACTATTACTCATGAAAGTGAAAAATTTCATTCTAATCATGAACGAACTCCCTTCTCTTCTATTATCGATTCTACAATCTCTATATCACAACGACATGAAATGAATCGTCTTCATACTCATTATCTATCAAAAAGTGAGATCACACAACAACAAGCATTTGAATATTAAAGCCATTTCCTCAAGATTTTGTTTCTTTTTTTTTTTTTTTTTTTTTTGTTATATTGATTTCATATTATATCCGTTTAGTTTAATACTTTATAAAAAAAAAAAATAATGTCAATATTTGTGTATTTGTCTCAATGTGTGATACATATTTTATAAATTTGTAACATTAGATATCAAATATGGAACCTACGTATGTTTAAGAATAAATGATTATTGATTGTATTAAATTTCTATTTTTTTTTAAATTGTCATTTTTTTTTCTTCCGTTTTTTCTCATTTTGTCTTTGTTTTTTTCTTTTTAAGTGTTTATAATTTTTTTTTTGTTTTAATATTTACTTGACAAACAACGACAAGTAATAATATATAAACATACAAGTAATGAAATACATTGCTTGTAGTATTAGAAAAGATAATTAATAATAGATATATGTTTTTTTGTTTTTAATGTCAATTATCTATAGGACTATATGACTGAAAATGAAAATAAAATCATCATTTCTTATAAATATAATTTACTTTGTTAAGCTTCAATATTGATTAAAAAAAGGTTACGAACGATAATAACAACAACAGTTTTTATATATTCAACCAAGTAACCATGTATAATCACTTAAATGTCATGTATATTGTCCTTTTTTTTTTTTTTTTTTTTTGTTAATCGTCGTCGTGTTTTTTTGTTATTACTTTCGAATAATTTAGTTTGTTAGTAACATGATACGTTTTTCTTGTTCTTTTTAAAATAATAGTTTGATGCTCTTTTCGAAATATATTTGAAGATTTACATGAATAAATATCAAGGATTTATTTCTTGTTCTGTTATCATATTTCAACAATTCGTAATAATTAATCAGATAAACAAGAGAAATTTCAATTATTTATAACATCTTTATTGTGAATGAATCGAACATTTCATATGATGAACTATGATCAATATATGATTCTATATACTTTTGGCATTGATATTTTATAATTGATAGATGGGACTTTTTTTTTTCTGGTAATCCAACGCATATTAATATTTCAATATGTGATTCCTTTTGGTGATTATTTATACTTCTGGAAAAAAGAAATTGCATTCAGTATTTTAAAGAAATCTTTTCTATAATAAGATATTTAAAAAAAAAATATTCTGAACGCCCGTGGAGTTTTCTATCATCCTGTATAATTAGGTTTTCATTTAGACCTATTTATTATGAAAATAAATTTCATGCAACGAAGGGACCCTCATATCCAGATTCTCACGGGTTTGATTTTATCATTGTTATCAAAAAAAGTTTTTGAAATTTTTTATCACTATAGAATTATCTTTTTAAAAAAGCAATTATATATTCTGATAGCACTTGAAATTTTCCATCTTTCTATATATTTGGTTACTGTCTTGCACTTATTTATTATCAAAATAATTTGAGTATAATGAAGACAACCTCAATTGACAAGTACGAAAATTAGTCGTTTTTTATGCTTTTTCGAATTGTGCGTACAAAGGAAATAAGTTTTTACAAAAGTAATTATGCATTCTGATAGAGATTGAAGTTCTCTATCATTCTATATATTTTTGTCTTATATTGCATTTATGTGCTGAAGAATAATTTGAGTATTATGCAGACATGCTCCTTGACAAAGTATAAAAAAAAATTTTGAATTTTTTATCTATCTCTTTCATTTTTTGTTTCACAAGCTCAAAATAATCGAGAAAATAAGTCATTATTAGAAGATATAATTATTTTTTTCAAAATTTATATCTGAAGTAATAATAAAAGTGATAACAAACTAGAAATAAAAAGTATAGTGATAGGAGAAAATACAGTTTTTTAGGATTCGTTAAAATGGATGTTTAAATACTACTCCAGTTATTTTTCACTATATAAATATAAGATAAGACAAAAATATATAGAATGATAGAGACTTTCAAGCTCTATCAGCATACATAATGACTTTTGTAAAAAACTTCTTTTCTTTGTACGTACAATTCGAAAAAGTATAAAAAGCGACTAATTTTCGTACTTGTCAATTGAGGTTGTCTTCATTATACTCAAATTATTTTGATAATAAATAAGTGCAAGACAGTAACAAAAAATATAAGAAGATAGAGAATTTCAAGCACTATCAGAATATATGATTACTTTTTTAAAAAGATAATTCTATAGTGATAAAAAATTTCAAAAACTTTTTTTGATGACAGTAACAAAATCAAACCCATGAGAATCTGAATATGAGGGTGTCTTTGTTTATTACTAGGAATTTTTAAAAAAGAATGTGTATCAAACGCTGAAAAATTAACAGAAGGGATTTAATTGTTGAGAGACTAACTTCTTTCTGTGATACCATTTGTTTTATTATTTCATTTCATACTCATTTATTAAATTTATAAATTAAATCGTAATCAATATTAATTACAAATTATTTTGATAATAAATCGATCTAACTGAAAACTTAGTGAATTTCATTATGACGAACATAGTATTTTAATTTACCTCAAAATTAAGTTTGCACAAATTTAACTACAAAATAAGGTAAGATGGAAACGAACATCCAATAAGTATATATATATATACATATGTTCGATTAAATATTCTTTCGAGATATTTTCAACTTTATATTGTTCTTAGGTAAGTGTTCAGAAAAGAAGCATTATTTTTAAGAAATATTATAGAACAATAAATATGAAGAAAAAATTAACAAAAAAAGAGAATTTTTAGTTACCGGTAGATGCGGCTGTTCTACGTTCTCCTTATTAGACAAGTGTACAGCGATTCACGCCACTAGAGTCTCGAGTTTTAGGCGTGATGCATATCTCTGGAATGTACCAATTTCAATTCTTGGACTTGGTCAGAATTAACTGTTGTAGAATTACTAATTTTGTATATATTTACAAAAATTAATAATTTGATTTCTATTTGTTCAAGATCGATTCCGATCAATTCCAAATCAAAAACGGAAATCAGAATTGGTGCATCTCTATTTACAATATTAGGATCATACTAGCACAATACGCCTAACTTTTAATGCATTTTTTTTTGTCCTTTTAAAATCATCCTAATAAATTACTTACAATAATCAAATAGTTTTAACTACAATAGTAGTAAAAACGTCAGAGGCGCGTTGCTGTCGGCTTAGATTATATTATGTTTGTGGCTCCAATGCAACCAAAGAAAAAATTAATACTCGTGTAAGGAATTTCATTTTGAACGGAGTATAAAAACCGATATTCATTTCTATATGATATGAAGTGTAAGTTTATATGGAGTTGGGTGAATGAGAAGAAGAATCACATCCTACACGCATAGCCATACTCACACCCACATCTTGTTCAATAACAAATCCAAGACACCGAACTCTAAAGGACGTAGAACTGATCCCATCTTACTAAGACATGTGTTTGAAGATGTTCGACGTCTGCTCACTGCCTGCATCGATGAAAATATGTAGACCAACGTTGGAAAATATTCAAATTTTGTATATTGCTAAAGAGATTACTTTCCTTGAGAAACACTAACAACAACGATCCCATTCGATCATTTCTCTTGCTCAGCAACGGTGCCATTAATCGGACTGGAATTATTACAGTGGCTAGAACATTAAAGAGAATATTTGATCATTAGTTACATATTAGCGTTCATGTCAGATATAAGATATAGAAGGAGATCCAGTGACATTTTCTTGAGGACGGAATGAAGCCAAAAAAAAATGATATTTCAACCTCGCTAATATGTCAAGCAAAAGAAGTTCGTTGCTAAGTTCATCATAGTTCATTCGAATACAGATTAATAATACACATTCAAAACTGTTTTTGGTAGTCATATGATCGCATCCATTATTTTTCTCTATTTTATGAAGACAATTAGAATTTGAACATTGTTTTAGAATTTCGGTTTATCCATCGTTGATTGACTCTTTCTTCTTGTCCAATAGTCTTATCATATCTATATGCCATTCGAGACGATGATTGAAAACAGGTCTTTCGTTCACATTTGATGCATGTTACGATCGGAAATTTTTCCCCATTATAATTCAATTGACCAGAATCAGATGAATGAGAACATCAAACAAATTTTGACTATTGTTCAAGACACAATAGAAGACAATAACGATTGCATTGTTCCAATAATTCATTTATTATTATATCTCGTTGATAGCAAGTTTTTGATTGCCTAATATTCCAATCGCTTTTTACATCCATGATCAGAACATTTGACTACTTCAATCATTTTGAATTTAAATATATTTGATACGTATAAGAAAATGCATCTATCACATATTATTCGATCGACATGCACACATTAGTGTATATACAGTATACTCCTTTTCCACAGAATTTATAATCTACACTCAAATTAAGAATATAATGAAAAAATGAGATGTATATATTTTAGTTGGTTTTTACCATCTATTTTTCTTTCACTCGGCGTATGAGTCGTGATTCAAGTCAGCCATTTGCTCTTAGCACCTGATCATCATTTCGAATTGGAAAAAAACTTGCTGAGATCGTTAGAATGTACACCTGAAATTCTTTTTTTTTTTCAAAATTCGACAGCATTCGGAAGATATAATTATGTCGAAAACGATATGATGATGTATGATTCAATTTTAAAACGATTATTCATATGTTAGATGTTAAATGCATATATATATACTTTAATTACAGTCTTGCATGACTTAAAATTTCGGTATGGTTTCTATTGATCAGATGTAAAATACAGGAGAAATTTTGGAAATGCTAACAACACAATTATTTTTGAGCCATCTATTAGATTTCAAAATTTTCGTATCTATCTGATGATTCAATGGTTTCAATTCGATGTGATATTTTGGGAACCGAACAGGAACTGTTTTTTTTTCTCATTTTGAGTAACTGAATAGGTGTGACACCTACATATTTTTCGATAATGAGTTCGATATAATTTCTAATAATGATTTACATGATATGTTTATATAGACTGTTTAGGTGTTCACCTTTAAACCAATTTGACTAGCAACTGTTCCTAATCCATAGCAAAATTTTT